ATATATATATATATATATATTCATACACTAATAATGAGAAATGTCTGTGTGTACTAGCCTAAAACATTGTCTGTCATACATATTAAATGTTAAAATGCACCCATGGCTATGAATGTTTAGCTCCACGATTAAATTTAACTTTAAATATATTTCATTTATTAATGTAGCATATTCATCACGCAGAATGTTGTGTATACACGTCTTAATAATCAGGCTTTATAATATAAATATAAATATAAATATATTCCTATTAGGCGTAAAAAAATACCTGTGGTTCCGGTTTCATATCGCGAAAAAATTCGCGTCGGTAGGTCGGAAATAATTTTTGAATATTTTTCATGGTTTTTTCAATAATTAGTGTGACAACAGACGCCATTTTGGCAGCAGCCCGCAACCACCCGGAGAAAATAGGGTCGCACGGTCAATCGCGTTGAAAAAATAATAGGGTCGGCAGAAAAAATAGGGTCGGTCGGGAACCGGAACCACAGCTATTTTTTACGCCTTATCCTATAGCGACCCAGTGTGGATTTTATGTTTGCGATGTTACTCTGAGTGCATATCTACACCGGGCGAGCTTGAAAACTATGCCCGGCTAGTATTCCAAAGGTCGTAGGTTCGTATCCCACCGTGGCCGGGCATAGTTTTCAAGCTCGCCCGGTGTAGATATGCACTCAGAGTAACATCGCAAACATATTATTCACCTGAGTACACAACACCAACACAGAAAAATCCAGTGTGGATTGTTTGTCTGCATATACTAGAAACTAGTTTACCCACAGGGTAGTGAATGCTGCCTTGGTATACATTGTTCCCAAATCTTTAATATTTTAAAGAATAAGAGTAAGAAATATTTGTAATGAATTGGAATCATCCATAATTTATACACTTGAATGTGCCGTATGATAACTCGGCGCTGGAAGTTTCGTATCGAAATAGGAACAGCCGAACAGGTACGATGGCTAACAAGAATGAGTGTACTTATCAACTTATCTAACGTGAGGAAAAGATCAAAATGGCAGGTATGCCATTGTGATCTTTAGTATATAAAATTGTATAGACAAAATTTGCCTGCAAATACGGTGCTAGGTACCAGGGGTTAAAGAGCAATGACAGTGACATGCAGGTGACATTTAACATGTGCTAGTGTGCGTCTCACTAAATTTGCGTGTTTAATAATGTTTATCACAGAAGGTAAAAATATATACAAGACAACCTCACATGTGGAATCTGTTCACTTACGCACTGCCTTGTGATGCAGTACAAGTACAAGTACAAGTACAAGTACAAGTACAAGTACAAGTACAAGTACAAGTACAAGTACAAGTACAAGTACAAGTACAAGTACAAATACAAATGACAAACCATTTTCAAAGGCTTTAATTATAAATCCTAAAACATAATTAAATCATACGGCACATTCAAGATTTTAATTAATATCGTATTTCAGCCGCGTTTATACTGCTTGGCGCGCATTTGCTGCGTTATATTAATTTATATACCTATGTAATTTATTACTAATAAATCAACATTATATGATAATAAAGAACTCACAAAGTGGAGTCACCTTTTTATAAATAAACCTTCCATGACATAAACAAAATGGAGGACAACTTTGCACTCCGCTATGTTTTCACATACCCGGGTATAATTAGCCGTGAGGAATTAGTACCCTCGTACGGCGCTTCGCGCCGCCGGCTCGGGGATTAATTTACCAACAGTTACAAGGCCGGTATGATGGTCAGACTGTAAAAATATACCTCTGAGATATGTACATGTCCATTGTTAGCACAATACGAAATAATCCTACCGGCCTTCATTCATGTATTCACCTGGCTGTGTCACCACCACATTTCAGGATATAAAATAATTTTTGATAATGCTCACAATTTATTTCTTATATAGTTTTGCAGTTCTGACTGCGTACAGTCTTAGTCTTTATAAATGAATGGTGGCATCTGAAGCTGACGTATTAAATGTCGACAAATAGATTTTGTCTCCCATCTGCAGATTGTTCAGTTGTTCTGCAATAGAGGTAGCCTTGAAGGTGCCATTAAAACAATAATTGGGACAAAACCTGACTTAGTATTTCTATATATGAAATTGTTATTAAATTCTATGTGTCCAATGATTCATTCAAGTATTTTATTATTGTTTATACGTACATATGGTATTTTGACTATTATTGTACAGTATTGAGTGGCAAGCTAGCCGTGGCAACTGGTCATGGTATGCTAATAGACCTGCAATCCAATTTTCCAAATCATTAAAAACCATAGCATGACCTAGCTATTACTACGGCTAGCTTCACCAGTGTTGACAGTAATTATAATTATACATACAAAAAGCAAGAAGTTATAAGCATTGAAAGAATTCATATAAAATCGCCCCATGGCATGCCAAGAAACTAGAATTAGAATATTTAGCTGACCTTTGACTTTGTGCAAGGTGTTTGGTATTCAAATTGCACTTTTCCTACCTCCTGAACAGGCATCTTAGGCAGGGCCGCCCAGAGGGGGGGGGGCAAAGGGGGCAAATTGCCCCGGGCCCCGAGTTGCTGGGAGCCCCTGGAAAATTTTTGTAGGGCCCCATCCTTTTTTGTGTGTTAAATATTTCCGCGCAAAGGACAAGATATCTGTTTTCTTGGGCTAAGTACCGAATTTTGGCATAAAAAAATGAGATAAAGTCCCTCGAAAGCATTTGCAACGTACTCGTCCGGCAAAATTTTGTACTCCAGAAAAAATTTTTTACCCCTAAAATAGTACACTGATCGAAAATTTTTCGTGGGGGGGAGGTTGTTATCCGGAAAAAATTTTTCCGGGAAAATTTTTTTAGATAGGGGCCCCTAAAAAAAATTTTCCCGGGCCCCCGCCAACCTCTGGGCGGTCCTGATCTTAGGGGCTGTTCACATGATGGAATGTGGGATGATTTTGATGTATTGATATATATGTCCATAGGCTAAACGAAAGTCAAATGCTGGTTAACAAAACTCAAATGTTGTAGAGCAGATCTTGTAGTTCAAGAAGATTATTTTTGCTGCTTGAACAACCTTTCAACTTACAGGTAACTGTTGCTATCTCTCGGAAATAATTGCTGAAGTGTACACCGTGACTTATTTAAATACATCTAAATCATCCAGTTGCGCCGTGGCTGGGGGGGGGGGCAGGGGGCCATGCCCCCCTATTGTTGAGACCCGTCGGAAAATTGTCAATGTTGTCGAATCTTAATTAGTGCTGAAGTATGGAAAATAGTGCTACTAAAATCGGGGAAAATGCTACGAAAGCAATTGTAATGTTATTGTCCGGAAAAATTTTTTCACCGAAAAAGTTGTCGACAGGGGGGAAGAGTTTTAAAATGTTGTCCGGAAAATTTTTTCGGTTTGTCAGAAAGGTAATGCCCTTGCCCCCCCCCCCAAAAAAAAACCCATGGGTCCCACGGCGCCACTGAAATTATCCCGCATCATATCTCATCCTGGCAAAGCGGGATCATAAAAACAGCCCCTTATTCAGCAAATTGCGCATGCTCCCTTTGATCCCTTGGGGGTGAGGCAGCATGTGTGTGTCACATGCCAGTCATATCAAAACAGACAAAAAGAATCGCCGCGCAATTACGAAGCGTGTTTTACTTCGTAGTATATAGTGCTACGACGATGTTCATTCTTTTTGTTTAGAAAATCAAAATGCTTCACTTGTAATATATTGTACCATCTTTGAATTGCGTCCCCCCCCCCCTGTAAATTATTATCATGTATATCTCCTGTGGTGAAAAATACTCTAATTTGCATAAATTATGCACGGTTCCAGGTTCCGGTTCCTGTATCGTTGTATCGCTTTTTAGTAGTAGCCGTTACGAAGCATCACGTGTTTGACTTGGGGGTCAAAGGATTTTTATCTATACTTAACGTTGTAAATTTATAGTTAACGTTGTAAATTCTGATAGACTCTTAATTTGTATATAGGTTGTATATAGGTGGCAGAATGAAGGTGTGGTTAGGTGGTGCCAGACAAACTCGATTCTGGGTGGGGGAGCTACAGGCAGGGGGTGTCCCTCAAATTTTGAATTTAGAGGCTCGTAAGTTCTGGCAAAGACTTGTATCATCCAACCATCAACAACAACTGTTTCAAAACATGTAACTGGGAATCATGAATACTCAATATATAATAACCTTAGGCAGCAAGGAATATTAGGTTCCTCCATTTTAATCTCTTTTGGACAGCTTCGCTCTCACCAATTTTACATCCTGTTCCATTACCCCAAGCACGTATGTAATTTGTGAGAAAAATATGAGGGTCTGGTGGTCCTCTCCCAGAAAACATTTAGACTTTTGATGCTCAATAAAAGCATTTGTGGCATCTGGAGCATCCACAAGGAAAACGAGTAAATGAGAAGACTGTTTTGAGGTTATACAGTATTTTTGTTAATTTGGTGACTGCACATTTGAGTTTTAAGAACTGCACAAATGGGTTTAGAACTGCACATTTTGTGTAGAACTGCACGTTAAAATAAACCCTGCATCAAGTCATTGATTTTCAGAACAAAGAGTTTCCTGGATAAAGACAGGTGGATTGTTGTCATGTTTGATGAGATGAAGATTAAATGTAATTTAGTGTTTGATAAACAATTTGTGGATCTCGGTGATCAAGATATCAACTATACAACATTTGATAAAATTGAACCAGCTACCCATGTACTTGCTTTCTATGTCAGGGGAATAACCACTAAACTGCAGTTATGCTTGGTTACTTTTTCACCCGAGATGTGTTCTCCTATCAATTTATTAATGCCACTTTTTTTGGCGTGGTGTTGGTATATTACAACTTAAAGCAAACCTGAATGTTATTGCTGCAGTCAGTGATGGGGCTTCACCAAACCGCAAATTTTATCAACTCCACATTTTTATTGGTGAAAAACTTAACAACCAGAAAGTTGTGTATAAAACAAAAAACCTCTTTGCCCCAGGAAAGTGGATTTGGTTTTTTGCTGATGCTCCACATCTATTAAAAATGGCTAGAAACTGCTTGCTTAATTCTGGTTCTGGTTTGAAATCAAGGTACATGTGGAACAATGATAAATTTTTATTGTGGAACTGTATATCAGATTTATATTATTCTGATCTGGAACTGGGGCTACACCAACTTCCTAAACTAACAATTGAACATATCATGTTAACATCTTATTCAAAGATGAGAGTAAATCTTGCTGCCCAGGTGATTTCTAGATTTGTTTATATTTTTAAAATAGTATAGATTTAAATCTTAATAATTCGTTTTCAAACTAATACGTCTCCTGTCCTCATGAACATCTTGTCTTTAGTATTTTTTGCACAAGTGAACAAAGCAAATTCTCCACGTTGATTGGTCATATTTGACGTAATAAGCTGTTATATTCATCTACAGGTGAATATAACAAAACTTCAAACACTCATTAATAATTCATAAACTTATTGGCAAATCATATCAGCTCAATATATCAGCATAATATGTCACGTGCAGTGGCTTTAAACCTGATAAAACACACTCGTAATTAGTATTCTTTATATAAGGAATACTAATAAGGCAGTATCTATTGTAGTCGTGTCCTCATTAGTATTTTTTATATAAAGAATACTAATAAGGCAGTATATCTATTGAATTTGTATAATAGTCGTGTTTGAAGCCGTTTAATAAACTCGCAGGTCGTGTTTTATTAGGTCTAAATCCACTCGCGCTGCGCGCTTGTGGCTTTAAACCTAATAAAACTCTCCTGCTCGTTTATTAAACAGTACATAAATTTTCAAAATGGCGGCTACCTGTTTTGTGAAAGTTTACAACGCACATTTATATATCGTGCATGTAAGATATGGAACACTATCGATGAATCTATAAAACTATGCGAAAACATTTCAACGTACTTTTAAAAATAAACTTAAGAACGTGTTAGTTCAAAGTTTATTTCAGCTTAGTTATATATGACGTTTTATCACCCTAATTTTATAGATTTATATAGAGACGTATTTAATTAGTGTTTTACCTGTATTTAACATTTTAGGACATGTATTTGTAAATTTTCACTGAAAAGCCCTTTTGGGATGTGTTAATAAATCACTATCAATCAATCAATCAATCAATCAATCAATCAATCAAGAAATAAGCGAAATTAAAATAAATTCAGTCTCAAAAAAACACCAAAAGCTTGTGTAAAAACAATTATTCGCCTCAGGCTCGGTGATTATCGGGGAATATTCACCTCGACTTCGTCTCGGCGAATATTCCCTGACAATCACCTCGCCTTCGGCGAATAATTGTTAAATATTTTCAAGGGCAAGTCACAAATGCGTTGAAAACAACAATCCATTTTAGAAATAACAGATATCAGTATTTCTTCTCCAGTTTGTTCTCATGTTGTCAAAAGAAGCAACTTTACGTGTTAACGTGATTGGACAATCTTTGTTTCAAAACCGAAAGTGATCTATTAAAATTGTTAACCCAAATTCCAAAGTGAAATTATAAGCATGAAATTGACAATGTTTATATTTTAATCCATATAGTTTTATATAACATATTAAAGCATGTGGCTCAAGCAATAGTTCGTGATGACATTGCTTGCCAAGAAATATAATTATAAAGTTGTATAAATCAGGATTGTAAACACTTTATATGCTCTCTGAAAGCTGAAAAGTTGTAAACATTGTTGTAGTCGTGTACGCGAGGCTGTAGGAGAGCAATTGTGTATGCTGTATAGTGATTACTAAACGTTAGTAAATATGCAGTGTATTTTTTAAGGAATTCCTATGAGTCCTATGAAAACCACTACACTCACTGAATCATCAAATTTGATATGTTGATCATTATAGTATTACCGTACTTTGTTTTATTTTTCCATAACACAGATCCTTAGCAATAGGATGGCCCAAGCCCTTATCCGTAGCTATCCAGAAGGAGAAGCAAGTGAAACAGCAAGGTTTTGTAAATTAATGAATGACTTTTTCGACTGTTAAAATGTTCGTGCATATAACGATGCTAGCTGTAAACGGAATGTTCTCCTGGGACCATATAAATCACAGGGTGATAAAATGTTTGAATGGTTACTATATATTATTAATTTAAGGCTATGGCTTAATTTTGGAGAATTTCAAAATTAAGCCATATCCTTAATTTTCAAAAGTTTTACAATTAAGACATAGCCCTAATTTTGAGAAGAGATCATGTTGACCCGGGTATATGAAAACCATAGAAGTAATAGACAGGTCTAATATTTCTACGGTGAAGACATAGCGAAGTTCAAAGTTTCCTCCATTTTGTTTATGTCATGAAAGGACGTATTTTTCTGTCTTACAGCAATTGTTTTAATTGTTTTAAATTTCCTGCAGTTTCAAGAATTAATGGCTGTTCAACCGTGAAACAAAGTTTGTAATAATTGTTTTGATGTTTGGATATGTTGATGTTTTTAATAATTTAATCGTTGTTGTGTAAGTTAATCGGTTTGGGTAAGTGTAAACACTTCAGTAGTGAAATTCCATTCCGTACTTGCTTTGTGTTGTCGATTTTATTCAAATCTGCGACATTTTTAAGTCATTCTTAATTTGTTAATTAATTCACAATATTAAATAATGTGTTTTAATGCAAGCCGGTATACATGAAATTGCAGAGAATGTTATCGTTATTAAGCTAGCGCATCAGTTGTGTTTTTATGTTTGTCTATAATGGTCTTAATGCTTTATGTGGAGTTTTTATACTTCATATGTTAAGAAAGGCGAGGGGTTGCTGCATTCATGTATTATCTAGTAATAAAAAGAATGAACATTTAACTTTGAGTGCTGCAATGCGCTTAAATTCAAGTTCAAATATGCTTTCAATAATCATAGGCATTTTTTACTGGAATCAGGAATCTAGATAGGGAAGACTACAACTTTTATTGGTAAACAGAAGAGATGGGAATCATTATTCACACATCGTACCCCCCCCCCTCAAATTTCTGCCCGATTTCAGCTTTTGAAAAGAGCAGCCTTTTTCCCATTAGGGGGGGGGGGCAGAGCCCCCCTGGATACGCTCCTGTGCAGTTGTTGTTTATTTGGGCAATCAATTATTTTAAAAGTCAACATATTCATCTTCTTTCGTTTCGATACATGTGTGACTTTGGGCTCGACTATACAAAATACCAAAAAGACATTTCTAATTTGCCTTGTAAAAAACACCTACTTTAGGGGAGGATTTAACTTGCAATCCAAAAATTTGCATTAAATACATTTAAAATCTTTCTATTACACCTATTTAGTTTTATATAACACCTCGTTAAATTCTGGTCATTTCATTAGCTGATTACGATCACGTGTATTGAATACAAATTACAACTTTTTGTATCTGCGAATGCAGATATATTGCCATCGCGCGCGTACCGGAAGTTCGTAAGCGTGCTTCTAGCCAATCAGCGACAGCGTATGACATGATTATAAAAATTTCAAGATGGCGGTTTACTGAAGGGTGAAACAAAGGGAGATTTGTGAATTTACGATTAAAATTAAAAATCAAACTCAATCAAAACAATAACATTTTACTAGTCTGAATATGACAAAGGTCTCGAGAGTATTTTATTTTTGGCAAGCATTTGAAGGGTTTCATCATTTTATACCGATAATACGCTGTGCAAATTAAATGATTCGCAATCAGGGGCGGCGCTAACCCTCTTCGAGTGAGGGGGGGGGGGGTGTGAGTGATCTTTTGCCGACTGTTGTTTGGTAATTTTGCCGAGTCATTAGCCTATAGTGAGGGTCCTGAAGTGGGGGGGGGGTCCCAATCCCATTTTCCACCACCGACCACACCAACCATATCACCATGTTCCACACCCTGTCAACTACAATCAACAATTCCCACCACTCCCAAGGAATGGCAATCCTAACACTTGGACACGCCCGCTAGACAACGAAGCAAACCATAAAGTCTCCGAGATGATCAAGATTCTCCATAGTCTATTTCAATAAACAAACTGTAAGTATGCAAAAGAAACCATTAACATCATTATATGATCTCTAACTAAATATTCAGTACACTTAATATATATGTATATATATTGCCTTGCGATTTTTATCATAGGTCAGCCAATCTTTTTCTAATCATTTCAAATCATTCCAAAACTACAGAAAATGTATTCTAAGCTTTCTTTAAGTACTTGGAATATAAATGGTTTAAAAAATTGTACGCTTGGTAAGAAACTAAGCAATAGTGATTTTATAAAAAATATTGAAGATCATGATTTAATCTTTCTTGTTGAAACATGGTCAAATGATACTAACAGCATTCCTGGTTTCAAGGCAATATCCACAGTCACGGCAACACCCAAGTCAAACTTTGCTTGCCGTTTGTCTGGTGGAATTTCACTTTTGTTCAAAATAGGACTTGAAACTTTTATTTCTGTTGAAAAACGTACAAAAACATCTTTATGGTGTCGAATAGACAGCACAATCCTAGACTCCACAAAAGATCTATTCATCTGTGGAGTCTATATTCCACCGGAAAGGTCATCTTATTATGATGAAGAAATCTTTGATGACCTTGAAAATGACATAGTTTATTTCTCAAAAAAAGGAAATGTTATGCTGCTGGGGGACTTTAATGCCCGTACCAGCAAACTTGAAGATTTTGTCTCAAGTGAAGGAAATACCTTCATAAATGACATTACTGAAACCGCTTTCCAACCAAAAATAAGGGAAAGTTTTGATAGTTATATTAATAAACATGGAAAAAATCTGATTGAGATCTGCAAAAGTTGCAACCTAAGAATTCTGAATGGTAGGACCCTTGGTGACTCATTTGGTAAACCCACTTCACACAGTAAAAATGGCTCAAGTGTGGTTGACTACATAATATGTGACCAAGAACTAACCCAATCCATTGAAAACTTTATTGTTAAACCTCCAACTTATCTATCTGACCATAGTCAACTAGTGACATGGATTAAAAGAGCTCCCACTCATGTCCCTCTCAGTGAGACTACTCACACGCAACAACCTAAAACACATAAGCTTCCACCCCAATTCATATGGGACAACGACTCAATGATTAAGTATACAGAAAATCTCAAATCATTTCAAACTCAACAAAAACTTCAATACTTGATCAATTCCAATCCATCTCCCTCAAAGGAAGGTGTTGACAGATTTGCCTCAACAGTAGAAGATTTAATTATGCATGCTGCTAAAAAATCCATGAAAATCAAAAAGAAGAAATACAGAAACAAAATTTCCAATGTCTGTAACAAAAAATGGTTCGATAAAGAATGTCGACTCCAAAGACATTCATTGAGAAAACTCGCAAACCAAAAACACCGTGATCCCCTTAATACCGAAATAAGAGACAAATACCATACCACACTTAAGATTTATAAAAACACTCTAAAACGCAAGAAAGAACTTTTTCATGAAAAGAAACTAGAAGAACTAGAAAGAGTTTCTGAAAATGACCCAAATTCCTTCTGGAAACTATTAAAGAACATGAGTGATGACTTTGAGGACCCTTCCATGAGTAAACCAGATGTTTCGGCTAACAGCTGGCTCACTCATTTCGAATCCCTGCATGAACAGAATAATATTTTACAAAAATTAACAAAACTTGAAGAAGAAATCCCAAATAATTTTCTTGATGAACCGATTTCTGAAGTAGAAGTTTTAAGTGCTGCAAAGAAATTAAAAAACAACAAATCTGCTTATTCTGACAGGATAAAAAACGAAATGCTAAAGTGTAGTGTCAAAATATTACTTAAATTATACCAAAAACTTTTTAACCTCATTTTAGAAACAGGGCATTTCCCAGATCAATGGTGTGAAGGTCTCATTACACCAATTTTTAAGTCAGGAGATAAAACTGACCCCAATAACTACAGGGGAATTTGCGTGACTAGCTGTCTCAGCAAATTCCTTTGTATTATTTTAAATCAACGGTTAAGTAAATTTAGCATTGATAGAAACATAATTCACCCATCCCAAATCGGATTTCAATCGGGCCACAGAACAGCTGATCACATTTTCACTCTTAAAACAATAATAGACAAACACATAAATGAGAACAAAAAGGAAAAACTCTATGCATGCTTTGTTGATTTTAGAAAGGCTTTTGACTCTGTTTGGCATGAAGGCCTTTTTTTAAAACTGCTTGAAAACAAAATTGATGGTAACTTCTACAACCTTGTTAAAAGTTTATATTCAAACTCTAAATGCGCCGTAAAAGAAAGCAAAACTAATCGAACTGAATTTTTCTCATACTCCACAGGAGTGCGTCAAGGCTGTGTTCTGAGCCCTCTTCTATTTAATATCTACATAAACGAATTGGCAACATTATTTGACACTACAGATGCTGATCCGTTTATACTACCAAATGGAACTAAACTGAGTTGTCTTCTATATGCCGATGACTTAATTTTATTATCTCGATCAAAATTCGGCCTACAAAAATCTCTAGACGATCTCCATAGTTGGAGTAAAAAATGGCTCATGGAGATAAATTTGAAGAAAACACAAATAATGATTATTGAAAAACGAAAAACAAGAAAGGCAAGCCCAAAGTTTAATGTTGGAAATCGGAACATAGCAATTGTACAGGAATACTGTTACCTAGGAGTCAAACTAAATCACAATGGCAATTTCACTTTAGCTCTAAAGCAACTAAGTGAGAAAGCCTTGCATGCTTTATATCAACTTCAGCCGCCTCAATCCCAAATATGCCATTAAAATACTTGATTCTATTATAAGCCCGATCCTACTATACAACTCTGAAGTATGGGGGACATACGTGAAACACGATTTCAACAATTGGGACAAGTTACCAATTGAAAAAGTCCATCTTAAGTTCTGTAAAATATACCTCGCTGTCAGTAGGAAAGCAAGTAACATTGCTTCCAGAGCTGAGCTTGGAAAACTCCCTCTTATTATCAATGTATTCAAAAGGGTCTTCAAATACATCACTCACTTAAACTCACTTCCCGAAACAGCCATTGCAAAGCAAGCATTTCTAATCTCGAAAGATCTCTACTCTAGGCAGAAAACTTCCTTTTACGGAAATGCAATGGATACAATCAAAAATTTAAACCTAAATGAAGAAATCCCTAGTCTGGAAGCCGTAACGTCTGAACATATTGAAGCTATTACCAAAACCCTTGAGGAAAAATACTTGACATTCTGGAAACATAAACTTGAAAATTCATCCAAATTAACTTTCTATTCAACATTCAAAACGGACCACAACCTCGAAAAATACTTAATACTTATAAAAGACCCATACAAGAGAAAATGTCTTTCACGTTTTAGAGTTAGCAGCCATAACCTCCAAATTGAGATCGGGCGATACCAAAATACACCCCGAGAAGAACGCTTATGTGAAATCTGTAATTCAGGAGAGGTGGAAAACGAAACCCATTTCCTACTCTTTTGCAAAGCCTATGAGCATTCTCGTGAAGACCTCCGAAGTTCTTTAGAGAATGTCTCATCTAACGAGATTAAACTGAACTCTCAAACTCTATCAGCTGACTTAATGAAGTCAACTGATAGTGAAATCATAACTAAACTGTCAAAATTTGTTTATTCATGTTTTGAACAAAGGCTTAAATACCTTGAAAACAGGAGTCCTAGTTAGCATAGGTTGTAATAACCACCTTATTTGTAAATATTATACTTGTCTATATTCTTTCTTCTTATTCCTATTCTTATTAACGTTAATGTTATGTTAGTCTATTAAGTATTATTGCACAGTCATATACTACTTTGTAAATTGTATAATCCTAGTTTACCATAGTTCTCTATATAT